ATACATATAGATTAATAAAATATATAAATATGTATTTATTTTATTAAAATAAAATAAATACATACATATATATTACATATATATGTATGTATTTTTTATAGCGACATGGTCTATGTTGCCCAGGCTGATCTCAAACTCTAGGACTCAAGTGATCTGCCCACCTTGGTCTCCAAAAGTGCTAGGATTACAGGTGTGTACCACCGTGCCTGGCTGACTTTTTTTCTGTACCTCTCACTCTACCAGGCTGGTCTGGAAGTCTTAGGCTCAAGTGATTTGCCCATCTTGGCCTTCCAAAGTGCTGGGATTACAGGTGTGAGCCACCACGCCTGGCCCAGAGGAGCTGGTGCTACTAGTTCTAAATCTGGCCTTTCCACTAACTAGCTGTGTGCCCGTGAGTCACCCATGTCCCCTCTCTGGGTCTCACATTTCTCAGTTGTAAACCAGGCTTAGCAAATCTTTAAATCTATGCAATTTAAAGATTTGTTTTTGCTCTTTTGCAATTGCATTTCTAGGAATCCATTCCCAGGGAAATTCTCACCGCACAGCACATGAACACAGGTGCCAGGATGCAGCTGCACCTTCCTTTGTGGAAATATCCTTAAAAGTGATTAAGTAAATGAGAGTTTATCTGTGCTCTGGAGTGCAAGACCGCGGACCATGGCTTTCAGGATTCTCTGGTGACACCTGCTGGCACAAAGGGATACTACAGCCCAGCTTGGCTACGTATTGGGAATTTCTAGAATAAGAGAGGTTCGGGGCAATTGTGTGAGGGTAGTTTGGGAAGGCAGAGAGCAGGGAGAGATTTGGAAGGAAGGTCAAGGCAAGGAGGTGGCCTGAGTGTGGAGGCTGCAAGCATAGACCTGGGTTCCAATTCTGGCTTCACTATTTACTAGCTGGGTGAGCCTGGGTGGATTTGGGACTTTCTCTGAGCCTCACTTTCTTCTTCTGTAAAACAAGGATCCTAGGCCAGGTGTGGTAGCTCATGCCTGTAATTCCAGAACTTTAGGAGACTAAGGCGGGCAGATCACGAGGTCAAGAGTTCGAGACCAGCCTGGCCAACATGGTGAAACCCTGTCTCTACTAAGAATACAAAAATTAGCTGGGTGTGGTGGCGTGTGCCTGTAATCCTAGCTACTCGGGAGGCTGAGGCAGGAGAATCGCTTGAACCTGGGAGGCAGAGGTTGCAGTGAGCTGAGATCATGCCACTGTACTCCAGCCTGGGCGACAGAGCAAGACTCCATCTCAAAAAGATAAAATAAAATAAGGATCCTAAGGCCCGTGTTACAGATTATTGGTGAGGGCTGGGTGAAAGGATTACTTTATTTAATAATTTATTGAAACAACATTGAGCACCTAAGATGTCAGTGACTGACAGTCTCATCTAGGTGCCAGGGATACAGCAGGGGATGAGGCCTGGGTCCTGCCCTCCTGGAGCTTACAGTCTAGTGCAGAGAACACAACAAACCAATAAGCATGCATATGACATAATTTCAGGTATTATTTTTATTTATTTATTTTTGAGACAGAGTCTCCCTCTGTCACCCAGGTTGGAGTGCAGTGGTGCCATCTTGGTCACTGCAGCCTCCACCTCCTGGGTTCCAGCGATTCTCATGCCTCAGCCTGCCAGTAACTGGGACTCCAGGTACACACCACCACGTTGGCTAATTTTTGTATTTTAGTAGAGGTGGGATTTTGCCATGTTGCCCAGACTGGTCTCAAACTCCTGTCCTCAAGTAATTCACCCACCTCGGCCTCCCAAAGTGCTGGGATAACAGGCATGAGCCACCGTACCCAGCCTAATTTCAGGTATTGATGACGCTACAAAGGAAAATAAAGCAGGAGGCGTGTTGGTGTGGGTGGAGGCATTGTCGCAAGTGGGGTGCGTGGGGAGGGTGTCTCTGAGGAGGCTTGAGCAGAGCCATAGGAGCCGTATCCTGTGTGCATATGGAATGCATAAGAAATGCTAGCAGAAGAGCCTCACATGTAGGAAAGGGCCAATAAATGGTGGGTCATCATCTTATTACACACAGCAGAGTGAAAGGAAGGGAGGGATTGGAATCCATTTCCCAGGGTCTGCGGCAGTCACAGAGAGTGACAGAAGATTCCCTGGGCTGGCAGGTGGAGCGGCAGCCCTGCTCATGGTGTGGGGAGTGGGGAGCCCTGGACCTGAGGAGACCCAGCTCTGGGTGGCCTTAAGCGAGCCACTGTCTGGGCCTGTTTCCTCATTTGGAAAACAGGGCCAATAATGCCCACTTTGTGAAACTGGGGGTGCCATGGGCTGAATGATGACCCCTCCAAATCATTATGTTGAGATTCTAACCCCCAGTACCTCCGAATGTTACTGTATTTGGAAATAAGGCCTTTAAAGGGGTAATTAAGTGGCTAGGCACAATGGTTCACACCTGTAATCCCAGCACTTTGGGAGGTCGAGGAGGGCAGATTACTTGAGGTCAGGAGTTTGAGACCAGCCTGGCCAACATGGTGAAACCCTATCTCTATGAAAAATACAAAAAGTAGCCGGGCGTGGTGGTGCACATCTGTAATCCTAGCTACCCAGGAGGCTGGGGCAGGAGAATTGCTGGAAACTAGGAGGCAGGGGTTGCAGTGAGCCGAGATCGCGCCATTGCACCCCAGCCTGGCCCACAAAGTGAAGCTCCCTCTTCGGGGAAAAAAAAAAAAGAGGTAATTAAGTAAAAATGAGGTCATTAGGGTGGACCCTAATCCAATATAATCGTTGTCTTCATAAATCGAAGAGGAAATTTGGACACAGACACAAACAGAGGGAGGGCCATGTGAGCCCAGAGCAAGAAGGCGGCCATCTACAAGCCTCGGGAGAGGCTGCGGGAGAAACCAGCCCCACTCACACCTTGACAACAATCTCTGTTGTTTAAACCACACAGTCTGTAGTCCTGTGTTAAGGCGAGCCCTGCAAACTGAGATGGGGTTGATGTGGAAATACGGCTGGGCACACAGGAGACCCTCAGTGGAGGCTGATTTCTGTGGCCCCGTGCCACATGGAGCCCGACCATTGGCTGAGCTGGAGGCCTGATTGTGACCACTCAATGTCTCTGTTAAGCTCAGGGTCTGCCTTGAGATCCTGCACTTACCACGGAGTGGCCCTGCCTTGGGGACCCATCTCACCTCATTTCTGCCCTCCTTTCTGGTTCATGACTCAGCCATCCACTAACGTCTCAGGGTAGCACTGTGGCTACTCTGTAAACGACAGCACCACTGGCGTTCACTGGGGGCCAGTCTGGAAGAGGGAGACCACGAGGCATTTCAGACAGAAGGGATGGGATACAGGCGTTGCTTACACAGAGGACGGATGAGCCGAGATGCAGAAAGGCCAGGTGAGGCACTGGCCACAGCTGGAGGCGCTCCGCCCTAGGCCAGCGGGACAGAAGGAACCTGGGTCCGAGGTGGGGGCTGCCTGGTAGGAGCCGACCAGGGAGGGAGGGTCTGTCGGGCGGGGACAGGCGCTCTTTGCTTTCCGATCCACGCCCCGCCCTCTGCAGCTCTGTTCTGTCTGCCCCGGAGCTGACCCTGCGGCGCCTTTCCCAGGCTCCCGTCCGGTGAGTTCCTATTGGCCAACGGGAGGCCCCAGTCGGAGAGCGCCCCGGGACAGGCCCCTGTGCCTCCGGCTTTGCGGAGTGACGCAAGCCCTGGGCTACAGCAACCCTACCAGCCCCTCCAGTTTAGATGTGGCAGTGGCTCTTTGCAGCTGCGATTTCTTTCTCGGAGCGTCCTCCCCATCCCGTTCGGCCTCTGCCTCCACCATCGTCTCTGTAACCCGTTCCCTGTGGGAGAGTCCCTGTTGCAGCGTTCAGAGGTTTCGGTTTTCCGGCTGAACTTAACGCGTGGGAAGGCGCTGACGGCAAGGTGGCAGGTGACCACCCCGGCAGGCCGCCCAGCCCTCCCCTACCTACAGACAGAAGCGCCGAGGACTGCGGAGGGGAGAGGCAGGTGGGTGTAGGGGATCGGGGGCAGCCCTGGAGTCCAGACAGGCCTTGTTTTGTCCCAGGAAGAAAATTCCAACACAGACCACAACACCGATGGACCTGGAAAACACTGTGCTCAGTGAAAGAAGTCAGACACACAAGGACAATGTTGTATGAGGTACCTGGGATGGGCAGATTCTGAGAGATGGAAAATAGAATAGAGGTTACCTGGAGAGAGGGGGGAATTGTTGAATGAGGACAGAGTTTGTGTCGGGGATGATAGAAAAGTTTTGGATACAGAGAGTGATGACAAGTATACAGCATTGTGAATTTTCTTTTCTTTTCTTTTCTTTTTTTTTTTTTCTGTGACAAGGTCTTACTCTGTTGCCCAGGCTGGACTGCAGTGGTGCAATCCTAGCTCGCTGCAGCTTCGACCTCCCGTGCTCAAGTGATTCTCCCACCTCAGTCTCCTGAGTAGTTGGGACTACAGGTGCATGCCACCACGCCTGGCTGGTTTTTCTTGTATTTTTTTTTTGGTAGAGATGGGGGTATCGCTATGTTGCCCAGGCTGGTCTTGAACACTTGGGCTCAAGTAATTCTCCCGCCTTGGCCTCCCAAAGTGCTGGGATTACAGGTGTGAGGGTGTGAGCCACTGTGCCTGGTGTGAATGTATTTAATGCCACCGAATTTTACACTTAATAGTGAAAATGATAAATATTCTGTTAAATATTTTATGACAATAAAAAAAATCTGTGACAGTTGTCAGAATGAAAACCTTCACAAATAGAGAAAGACCATGAAGAGGGGAGTCTCATGCTTATATGCCTGATAAAGAATGACTGTAAGAACTACAACCCTTGGCTGGGCGCAGTGGCTCACGTTTGTAATCCGAGCACTTTGGGAGGCCGAGGCAGGTGGAACACCTGGGGTCATGAGTTTGAGACCAGCCTGGCCAACATGGTGAAACACTGTCTCTATTAAAAATACAAAAAAAGATTAGCCAGGCGTGATGGCGGGCGCCTGTAATTCCAGCTACTCAGGAGACTGAGTCAGGAGAATAGCTTGAACCTGGGAGGCGGAGGTTGAGATAGCGCCTGGGTGACAGAGTGAGACTCTGTCTCAAAAATTAAAAAAAAAAAAAAAAAAGAAGCCGGGCACGGTGGCTCACACCTGTAATCCCAGCACTTTGGGAGGCTGAGGCGGATGGATTACCTGAGGTTGGGAGTTTGAGACCAGCCTGGCCAACATGAAGAAACCCCATCTCTACTAAAAATACAAAATTAGCCAGGTGTGGTGGCGCATGCCTGTAATACCAGCTACTTGGGAGGCTGAGACAGGAGAATCGCTTGAGCCCAGGAGACCGAGGTTGCGGTGAGCCGAGATAGTGCCACTGCAGTACAGCCTGGACATCAAGCGCAAAACTCTGTCTCAAAAAATATATATATATTTATTTTTAGAGACAAGGTCTTGCTCTGTTGCCTAGGCTGGAGTGCAGTCATGGCTCACTGGAGCCTTGAACTCCTGGGCTCAAGCAATCCTCCTGCCTCAGCCTCCCAACTATCTGAGACTACAGGCAGACACCACTATATCCAGTTAATTTTTGAATTTTTTCATAGAGGTGGGGTCTCACTATGTTGCACAGGCTGGTCTAGAAAATTTTAAATTAAATATGTAACTCACATTTACAGTTCACATTATTTATTTATTTATTTATTTATTGACACAGAGTCTTGCTGTGTTGCCCAGGCTGGAGTGCAGTAGCATGATCTCGACTCACTGCAACCTCTGCCTCCTGGGTTCAAGTGATTCCCCTGTCTCAGCCTCCCGAGTAGCTGGGATTACAGGTGCCCACCACCATGCCCAGTTAATTTTTGTATTTTTAGTAGAGTCAGGGTTTCACCATGTTGGCTAGGCTGGTCTTCAACTCCTGGCCTCATGATCCACCCGCCTTGGCCTCCCAAAGTGCTGGGATTACAGGCATGAGCCACCATGCCCAACTGCAGACATCTTTTTGTTTTGTTTTTTCTTTGGAGATGGCATCTCACTCTGTCACCCAAGAGGGAGTACAGTGGCATGATACCTGCTCACTGCAGCCTCGACCTCCTGGATTCAAGCGATCCTCCCACCTCAGCCTCCTGAGTAGCTGGGGCTACAGGTGTGCAATAGCACGCCTGGCTAATTAAAAAGGTGACAGAGAGACCCTGTCTCAAAAAGCAAACAAACAAAAAACCACGTGTGTGCAGGTGTGTGTGTGTGTGTGGGGGCGGGGGGAGAGAGAGAGAAAGAGACGAGGAGGATATGATACATCAAATGTAGTAAAATGAAAACATTTGGGAAATATTTGAAGTATTTGTAACTTTTCTTTAAGTCTGAAAGTATTTTAAAATTAAAAAAAAAGAAATAACATAAAAGGTAAATAGTGCCAGGTGTGGTGGTGCACGCCTGAAATCCCAGCACTTTGGGAGGCTAAGGCAGGTAGATCACCTGAGGTCAGGAGTTCGAGACCAGCCTGGCCAACATGGTGAAACCTCATCTCTACTAAAAATACAAAAATTAGCCAGGTATAGTGGTGGGCACTTGTAGTCCCAGCTACTTGGGAGGTTGAGGCAGGAGAATTGCTTGAATCCAGGAGGTGGAGGTTGCAGTGAGCTGAGATTGCACCACTGCACTCCAGCCTGGGTGACAGAGCAAGACTCTGTCTCCAAAAAAAAAAAAAAAAAAAGAGAAGAAAAAGGGTGAATAGTACCAAGTGGTGGTGGAAGATACGGGATCTAAAACCCTTGGGCACAGCTGGTGTGAGTGGAGAGGGGATAGCCTTTCTGTAGAGCACCTGGTACTTAGTCAGATTAGTCCCCCCATCCCCTACAACCCATTCCCAAGCCAAAGTCCCAGAGACATCCTCACGCCAGCCCTGGAGGGTGCAAGGAGGTGGCAGCTGACCTTATCTGTGGTGGGGCAAGTTGGGGGTCACTTGGGTGTCTACCCCAGGGACTGGGCGGCTGAGACTGGGGACTGCTCACAGAAAGGACCGTGGAGGAGCCACAGCCACAAAACCCTTAACACAAGTGTTCATGCACAAAGTAGCCACATGTGTTTTGCAGGGACACATTCCAGCAAAAAGACACAAAGTGACAGAATGGCTGCCTTTCAGTAGGGGGTGAGAAGAGGTGGATGGCAGGTACCAGAAGAGAAGGGAATAAATATATGAAGAAAAACGACCCCCTCGGGCAGTGCCTGGCACAGCGTAAGTGCCCAGGAAACAGAGGCCCAGCTGTTCACGTTCTGGGCAGCAGGGCTGGGACCAGCGCCGGCTTCCTGGTTAAGGAGGTCACCCTTTCCTCTTGAGGGGTCTGAGTATGCATGTCAGTACCTGGTGGGCATGTAGCACCCAGCTGACCAGGGGCCTTCCCCTCTGTGGGTGTCACCAGCCTGGCCCTGAGAACTGGATGAAAGCTGGAATAATTCTTCCTGTAATAAAGCAAACGCGACCATGTTCAACCTTTCCCTTCATTTCAGAGGCTTCCCGCACCCGATGCCTCCCACAGCCTCAGGCTGAGTCCCCAGGTGCTCCAGTGGGGGTGGCAATGCTGAGCGCTGAGTTGGTTTCCATAGTTTTCATCATTAAAATGTTTAAATGACTAGGCTGGGCACAATTGCTCAGGCCTGTATTCCCAGCACTTTGGGAAGCCAAGGTAGGTGGATCACTTGAGCCCAGGAGTTTGAGACCAGCCTGGGCAACATGGCAAAATCCTGTCTCTACAAAATGCAAAAAAATTAGCTGGGTGTGGTGGCACTACAGGTACCTGTAGTCCCAGCTACTTGGGAGGCTGAGATGTGAGGATTGCTTGAGCCTGGGGAGGTTGAGGTTGCAGTGAGCTGTGATCGTGCCACTGCACTCTAGCCTGGGTGACAGTGACAGACCCTGTCTCCAAATAAATAAATAAATAAAATTAGCCTGGCATGGTGGCACGTGCCTGTGGTCCCAGCTACTTGGGAGGCAGAGGGAAGGGCATCTGAGTCTGGGGGGTTGAGGCTGCAGTGAGCTGTGATGGTGCCAATGTACTTGAGCCTAGGCTACAGAGATCTTACCTAAAAAAAGCCTAAATGAAAGTGTGGCGAGGAGCAGGCTTGAGTTATATTCATGCTGAGCTCTTCACGATAGATTCTCAAAAAAAAGTGGCATTGGTGGGGCTCTCCCTCTGTTTATTCACTAATCTGTTTTATTTTTTATATATATTTTTTTATCTACTTTTTTTGAGATGGAGTTTCACTCTGTCACCCAGGCTGGAGTGCAGTGGCACGATCTCGGCTCACTGCAACATCCATCTCCTGGGTTCAAGCGATTCTCCCACCTCGGTCTCCAAGTAACTGGGATTACAGGCATGCGCTACCACGTTCAGCTAATTTTTAGTAGAGACAAAGTTTCACCATATTGGCCAGGCTGGTCTTGAACTCCTGACCTCAAGTGATCCACCCGCTTTGGCCTCCCAAAGTGCTGGGATTACAGGTGAGAGTCACCACGACCCACCCATTTTAACATTTAATTGGGTAAGCTGCAGATACCCCTCAAGATGTCAGTGTGCATGTCATTAACTAGAGTCCAGTACTTGTTTCTCTGTCTGTAAAGCTTACATTTGATGAATTGCACAACTCTTAGGTGTACTTTTGATTACTTTTTTTTTTGAGATGGAGTTTTGCTCTGTCATCAAGACTAGAGTACAGTGGTGTGATCTCTGCTCACTGCAACCTCTGCCTCCTGGGTTCAAGTGATTCTTCTGCCTCAGCCTCCTGAGCAGTTGGGATTACAGGCGCCTGCCACCGCGCCTGGCTAATTTTTTGTATTTTTAGTAGAGATGGGGTTTCACCATGTTGGCCAGGCTGGTCTTGAACTCCTGACCTCAAGTGATCCACCCGCCTCAGCCTCCCAAAGTACTGGGATTACAAGTGTGAGCCACCGCGCCCAGCCACTTTTGATTACTTTTGACAAATGCATCTAGCTGCACTGCCCAGACTCCCTCCAAGATATTAAACATGCGGTGGGTTGAATTGTGTCCCCCAAGAAGATATGTTCAAGTCCCAACCCCTGGGACCTGTGAATGTGACCTTATTTGGAAATAGGGGCTTGCAGATGTAACCCAACTGAAGACGAGCTCATTCTGGAGTAGGGTGCACTGTAAATCCAATGAGTGGTGTTTACATAAGAGAAAGGAGAGGGAGATTTGGAGGTGAACACACACAGAGGGAAGAAGGCACTGGAAGGAGGCTGCTGGAAGATGAAGGCAGAGATTGGGGTCATGCAGCTAGAGCCAAGGAACATGGTGAATGGCAGGCAAGCACCATGGACGAGGCAAGGAAGGATTCGTCCCCAGAACCTCCAGAGGGAGCAGGGCCCTGGTTTCAAGGGAGAATAAATTTCTGTTGTTTTGGGTTTGTGGTATCTTATCATGGTGGCCCTAGGAAACTCACACGAAACACATACCATCACCCCAATGAGCACCCTTGTCCCCTCCCCAGTTGTGCTCTCCCGCAACTGGCAACCACCGTTCTGATATTTTCCTCATGGGTGAGTTCTGCCTGTTCTAGAGCTCCATACAGATGGGATCACACAGGAGGTTCTTGGTGTCTGGTATCTTTCACTCACATAAGATCTGAGATCTACTGTTGCAGCTATCAGTGCTGGCACGCCTGTAATTAAAGTCCATTTACTTGAAGAGGAAGTAAAATTTGAAGTAGAGGAGGAGGGGAGTAGGCAGTAAGCTTTCTCTTTTTTTTTTGAGACTGAGTTTCGCTCTTGTTGCCCAGGCTGGAGTGCAATGGCGTGATCTTGGCTTACCGCAACCTCCGCCTCCCGGATTCAAGCGATTCTCCTGCCTCAGCCTCCCGAGTAGCTCGGATTACAGGCATGCACCACCACGCCCGGCTAAGTTTTGTATTTTTAGTAGAGATGGGGTTTTGCCATATTGGTCAGGCTGGTCTCGAACTCCCGATCTCAGGTGATCCGCCCGCCTCGGCCTCCCAAACTGCTGGGATTACAAGCGTGAGCCACCGCTCCCGGCCTGTAAGCTTTCTCTTTAAAGCTGGGCTTGAGGCCCCATCTTCCCGGGGGTCTCTGGCCCTCAGGCGCCTCGACCTGAAGCTGTTTTCCAGTTCAGACAGAGGTTGCAGAGATCGCACGCGGGGCTTCCGCGCCACCTTGTGGCCATTCTAGGCAGTGCAACCCGTGATGCCTGCGGTGGGGTGTGGGGGTGGGGATGGGGTGGGGAAGGTGGGGTGGGCCCTCAAGTCACTGAGCACCTACTCAGCGCCTGCATGATTCCACTGTATGTGTGTGGGGGCAGAGATGACCCAGATTGGGCAGACCCTAGAGGGGTTCCCAGGAGAGGGAGATTGCACAACACTAACTCCAGTAGGGTGGATGGAGTGAGGCCCAGAGGCCTGAAGTCCAGCTAGAGCCTGGAGCAGGGGAGAGTAATGGACTTGGGCATTCAGGGAACATTTCCCTGGGCATCTCTACAGCTGGAGATGGAAAGGAAGGGTGTTAAAGGCAAGGGAACAGCACAGCCAAGGTGTGGAAACAGGACCTGGCAACATTCTGCACCCAACCAATCATAAGGTAATACGTGTCCATGGTGAACATTTTTTTTTTTTTTTTTTAGAGACAGGGTCTTGCTCTGTCACCCAGGCTGGAGTGCAGTGACACAATCATGGCTCACCGCAGCCTTGACCTCTTGGGCCCAAGAGATCCTCTTGCCTCAATCTCCTGAATGTCTGGGACTGCAGATGCACACCACCATGCCTGGCTAGTTTTGGACTTTTTTTAATAGATGGGGGTCTCGCTGTGTTGACTGGCTTGTCTTGAACTCCTGGCCTCAACTGATCCTCCTGCTTTGGCCTCTCAAAGTGCTGGGATTACAGGCGTGAGCCCCCACGCTCGGCCCCATGGTGAATGTTTTTTTTTTTTTCTTTTTTGAGACAGGGTCTTGTTCTGTTGCCCAGGCTGGAGTGCAGTGGCATGATCTCGGCTCACTGCAGCCTCTGCTTCCCGGGCTCAAGTGATTCTCCTGCCTCAGCCCTCTGAGTAGTTGGGATTACAGAGTCACACCACCATGCCTGGCTAATTTTTGTATTTTTAGTAGAGATGGGGTTTCACCATGTTGGCCAGTCTGGTCATGAACTCCTGAGCTCAAATGATCCACCCGCCTCGGCCTCCCAAAGTGCTGGGATTACAGGTGTGAGCCACCGCGCCCGGCTGGCTTAAGTCTTAAGCAGCAGCTTCCACTTTTGTGTTCTGGGGGAGGCTAGCAGCTATATAAGAAGTCTGTGCTGGTTGCAAAAAGTGCAAGGTTTAAAAAAAAAAAAGACTGTTCTGAGACCACATGGCAAGACCACGAGGCAAGAGAGGCCAGGAGGAGAGGCCACTTGAAGGGACAACTTGCAGCATGTGCAGAGGCCACATGGGGAGTAAGAAACTGCCAGAGGGAGCACTGAGGAACTAAGGCAGCAGACACGTGATCCAGCCAGCCATCTGCCACTCGGGCCAGCCGAGCTGAGGTGCCACACATGCAGCACAGAAGCCACTGTAGGCACTTGGAGCAGAGACAAGCTGTCCCCTCATGCTCTGTCCTAATTCCTCACCCACAGGATTATGAGCAAATACATTGGTGGTTATTTTAAGCCCTTAAAAAACAGAATTACTGGCGGGGTGTGGCAACTCACGCCTGTAATCCCAACACTTTGGGAGGCCGAGGTGGGTGGATCACTTGAGGTCAGGAGTTTGAGACTAGCCTGGCCTACATGGCAAAACCCTGTCTCTACTAAAAATACAAAAATTTTTTTTATTTTGTATTTTTAGGGCATGGTGGCAAACATCTGTAATCCAGCTATTTGGGAGGCTGAGGCACAAGAGCTGCTTGGACCTGGGAAGTGGAATTTGCAGTGAGCTGAAATCTGAGATCATGCCACTCCACTTCAGCCTGGGCAACAAAGTGAGACTCTGTCTCAAAAAATAAACAAACAAATAAATAAATTACTGTATAATCCAGTAACCACCACTGGGTATATATCCCATGGAAATGAATCTAGTATGTTGAAGAAATATCTGCGTTCGCACGTTTATTGCAGCATTATTCACTAAGTTTTGAGGTGTGTCATTACATGGCGGCAGCCAGAACCCCTGGCCCTCGGCTACTACTGTTGCTGGTTTCTTGCGACCCTTCCAACACGAACCTCTGCATCCTCAAATACATGAAGCTGGGCACGGTGGCACACGCCTGCAGTCCCAGCTACTCAGGAGGCTGAGGTGGGAGGATCACCAGAGCCCACGAGTTTGAGGATGGGGTGTGCTATGATCTCACTGTGAACAGCCACTGCACTCCAGCCTGGGTGATACAGTGAGACCATTTCTAAACAGACAAACAAACCAAAAATAATATGTACATTCCCACTCCTCCCCTCATTTATGTGGGGTTCACACACCACACATCTGGCCTGC